GATCATTAGGCAGATGTTTCAGAGCAAACTCTCGCTGACAGGTGTATCTTGGATCAGTCTTCCTTAGTACTGCATGGCCATAGCCTGGGACAACCTGCAAGGTGCAGGGAAAAAAAGCCATTTGGAACGCAACAATTTCTAAATGTACAATCTAAGACACTGATTATATTTTTCAATTTGTACAAACATTCTCACCATCACTTTTTAGAATTGTCCCTCCTTCATCAGCATAAACTCACTGCCCTCAAAAGTTTCTTTATCATCCCCTCCCCCCCGCCATGTACTGTTGAGCTGGATCCGACTGGCACAGAAGATTGTCCCTCCTTCACCAGCAGAGCATCGTGGATTTGAACTGCGCACTTTCGGGTTTGCAGCATAGTTTCTTGCCACTAGGCCACCAGAACTACTCCTCCAAGTTTCTTATTTAATTAGCTGGACATTCTTGTCTCACCATCCTGTCTACAGTTTCAGGGTGGATAAATATGTGTATGTGTGTATCTCTTCTTACAGCATGGAAACCACTTTTCTCCTAACTGAATCAAATTGCAAAAGTGGGTTGGTTCTTTTCTAGTTGCCAAGCATCTCTGCTTACCCGTCCAGAGTTGAGTGTGTTCCAGATATAGTCTCGTAACTTCTCATCGGACACATCTTTGCCAACTTCCTTCTGCAGCTGTGTCAGCCAGACAAGCACTTCCTAGGGGTAAGGTTTGGAGAATATGGGAGTGTCAACACAAACCAGGAGGCAATGCTAAGATTAGAAATTAGTAAAACATAAGAAAAGAAAAATATTATTACCTGATTTGCCAGTCCATGTAAGGGCCCTGCTAGCCCATTCATGGCAGCTGCAAAGGACAAGTAGGGATCTGAAAGGGCACTTCCTACCAGATGGCTAGTATGTGCACTTACATTGCCACCCTCATGGTCACTGTGAGGAGTAAAGAAAGGAGAATCAAGGCCAAAAGGAAGAATAGGGTAGATTTTGTTATTCTCATGTAATAGCTTAGTTCTGGGCTGACACCAGCCTTTAGTCAGTTAGTTACGCATAATCTTTTTTGAGAGATAGACCAATCCAATTATCAGCTTTTATTTATTAATCCAGAGCTGGAGTTTGGTTGATAATATCTATATGCCAAAAGCTCCATCTTAGCTTTAACAGCAATGGCCAGAAGAGGGAGCTCGTGGAAAGCTGTAAGACCACCATCTTATAATCATGGTTATAGAAAATTTCCTAGACTTGTCAATCTTTACTAAATTACTTGCTTTTTATCACTTTTTCTTAGAGGATGAGAATACTAATGAGATTTTGCCTAAACTTCTCCAATTCAGGTACTTGATTGCTGTGCTTACTGGGTCCTGCTCACCTGTGGATGGTGAGGTATAAGCGCATGAGTTCAGTGAACTGAGCATCAGTATAGCCTAACATGTTGGTGAAATTGTGGGACCAGTCCAGCTTAGTGTCGATGGCCCCAATACTGCTGCCCTCCCGGTAGAGGTTCCGGTAGATCTTTGCTGCAACACAAGGTAGCTTTGCAATGAGATCCATACAGTCTTCGTAAATCAACTGATGAGAGAAAAGGAACATGGAGAAAAATCATTAGTTATGCAAGGGATGCTTGCCCTCCATGGAGTGGGCCATTTTGGTTGATGATTATATTTGCACATATGCTCTCATATATGTTAAAACACTGACCAGATTCTTAACTACCCTACAAGGTAAATGTATTCTCTATCTCATGATCTCATATTCTACACATTAACAAAGTATGTCTCACAATAATGAATACTTTAGTGCAAGGTGAAATTACTGTCAACTACTCAGTGGCATGGCAGTTATGGAATGTGATGCAGCCATCCTGTTTTCACATAATGCTGACTTTCACATAACAAGTTGGTTTTAACCTAACCACGTTGATGCGTGAAGAGTAGGTAAATATACTGATCTTCATTTTACAGATGAGCTAAGGCCTATGGCATTTGGCTAAATGCTAAACTGCTGACCTTTCACTGGGTTTTCTGAGGCTGTAAATTGTACAGAAGGAGACTGCCCATCTTTCTCCTGTCGAGCTGCTGGTGGATTTGAACAGCCAGAGAGGCATGGCCTTTGGGTTAGTAGCACATGTCCCTATAAACTAGGTCACCAGAGTCCCCTTGTGCTAAGATACTTAAAAAACTCAACTCATTGCCACTGAAGTGGGACTGATTCATAGCTGACCTCTTCAGTGGGTTTTTAGAGGCTGTAAATTGCATGGATGGAGACGGCTTATCTTTTTTCTTTTTTTTTAAATTTTTTTAATTTTCTGTTTGTGTGTACCGTCAAATTGGATCTGACTGGTACAGGAGGAGATGGCCCCTCCTTCTCCGGCAGAGCATCTGGTGAATTCGAACTTCATATCTCTGGGATTGCAGTGCAGGCTTATCTTTTTCTTAAGGAGTAGCCATTGGATTCAAATGACATACCTTTGAGTTGGCAGTGCAACTCCTTACAACTAAGCCACAATAAATTTCTCTCATCTTTTAAATGTGTTTGCATCTTAGGACACATAACTGAATGGCTGGGTTGACTGAACTGTGGGTCTCAAAGATCTCTGGTAAGATATGAGGTTTGAATAATTCTATGTTTTAGGTCCCAAAGAAAATTCACCATACATAAAAAGAATGAAATAGAATTTTATTGTCAAGAGTTCCATTTTAAAAACCAGGTTCTGTGTTAAATATTATCTGCAATATTCCTCCCCATCCCTTTACAATTATCTTGTTTATCCCTATCCTTTACAGATGAAGAAACTGAGGCTTGATTAGCAATTTACAGTTAAGGTATGATTACTCCTGTGTCATCTATATCCTTACTTTCTCCCTTACCAATTTACTTTAAGCAGACTATTTTCACGTACGTGTAAATTAAGCATGTATTTCTAGTATAACAAAATCACAAAAACCATCATCCCTTGAGAAAAATTTAACAAATTTTCAAAATAATGAAATAATTTATTAGTATGAAACTTTCCAGATTAAAGCATAACTTCCCCACTGGTTCATTTGTTTGAGTTAGGACCAAAACAAAGAAAAAATATTGTTGTCTGATATGTACATGAAGTTGCTGTTAATCAGTTAAGTTCTTCCTTTTGTTTCTTTGTAATGGTTTTATGGAAATTTGGAGAATTTGTTCTGTAGTTTCCCATCATTTAGGTTCTGCTGGTTATATAACTGTGATGTTATTTAGCATATTTCTCTTGTCCACTGATAGTTTGGATTTTAAGTTATTTTAGGAAAGGAGAAATTCTTTATTGTTATCTTTTTAAAAAATTGCTTTTATCCAGTTTCAGGTATAGAGATAGCACAGAATACAAACTGCTGACAACTGCATTATGGGTATTTTTAATTTTTTTTAAATGTAATTATTTTGTGTGTGTACTGTCAAATCAGATCTGACTGGTACAGGAGGAGATTGCCCCTCTTTTTCCAACAGAGCATCTGGTAGATTCGAACAGCGTACTTCCAGAACTGCAGTGCAGCTTCTTGCCACTAGGCCACCAGAGCTCCCTGTGCATTATGGATATTATAACTAACATAAAGCAAAATGTTTATGAATGGTTGAATGCAAAAGCCAAATTGCTTTGTAAACTTTCACTCAAATCTCACTCACTCATCCATACTAACTCATACTGCAATAGTGCTGTTTCAACAAGCTAACTGGCTAAGTCTTGCAAAGTCATTTTAGTAGGTCGACTGTACTAGAGAGCTAAATCTTTAACTAGCCTAAATGCATTAACTATAAGTCATCATTCAAGTACTTTGAATTTTAACAATGCCATCAGAACTGAATCAGAATAATGCCAAAATTAAAAAGATATTTGAAACAAAAAAGAGCTATTAAGTACTGAGGTGATTATTTGCATAATCATACTATTATTAACTATACATCCTTGCAGGTTTATATTTCCTAAGACAGTAATTTACTTCCAGAAGTATGCACCATGAGATGCAGTTTTAATGAAACTGGAATCACTAGCAGAATGTAAAAAACAGGATTCTGAGCTATATAAACTAGTATCTGTGGAGCCCACTTAGAAAATTATTTGAAAGTTATAACTACCATATCATAAAGTAGCTCCAAAAAGCGAAACTATTGTAACTACTGAAATTTATGAGGCAAGGAATACATGACCAGGTTTGACAGTGTGGGATCTTTACTTCAGTTTTAGTCATGGTCAACACTGCATCTAGTCAGGAAGAGTTTTGGTGGTTTTTTTTTTTTAAAAATACCACCTCACTGAAAATTTCTGCTTATTTCTTTAATAGGCTGATATTAAGATGTCTACTTGTACCAATTTATTAATTTATAAAGCCTAGAAGAAAGATGCGAACACTATGTCTTTAAGTGGAATCTGTAGCCAAGTTGTAATAGATACATAAAGTTCTTACTTAGCTCAAGAAGACTTGAAGCATTTTCATGAGCTGCTATGCAGCAATTTCTCATTTGGCTTGGAGTTAGAAGAAGTAAAAACTCAGTTAATGCCAGTATTTTTTTTTCTCCATTTTCAGTTTTTAATGAAGTTGTGTTAATATTTTACTCCTGCATCTTCTCAATTGTTTCTTCCTTATATTTGCCCTTTTCTTTTCCAACTTGGCGGGATTTAGCTTTACGTTCAAGGATCTTTTTTTCTGTCTTTATCCAGTTTTAGCTTAGTGAAAACCACCTTGCTGGGGTGAATGTCCGCATGGACCGTTGTGCCATTAGCTTTTTCTCACTGCACTCGTTCAATGTAGATGACATATTTCTTCCTGTAAACCTGGATTACTTTGCCAATTTGCTGACCTTTATAGTGCCTTCGTACAACCTGAACATCATCCTTTCGGATGGGCATGGACCGCATGTTGTATTTCTGCCTCAGCTCCTTGGACAGAGGAGAAGACATAATCTTCCTTCGAACGTTGCAAGCGTGCACTGAAGTGCCTTTTCTGGTTTTTGCTCCGGTCAGAAGTCACAAAAGGACTGAACTTCATTTTGGCTGCTGCTGCTTCGGCGATGGCCACAGGAGGCGAAAGAGAGTTAATGACAGTATTAAGCAATGCAGCATGTGTGGATGCCTGGGAAATCTTAATAAAACCAATAGCATCATAATAGTCACAGACACTTCAGAATTGTCACTTTTTAAAAGGGTTGATATAATAAAATTAATTAAACAATTATAATTAATGTTATAAAATAAGATGTGTATGAATGGCTGAATGCACTATCTATTTGGAAGAGACAGGACAGCATTCCCACACCCAAACCATAGAATTCAAACTATTCAGGTCTTAATTTCATTGTTAGAAAATATTGTTCATTTGTTTCTGGATTCTACTGGTAGGACAGAACTCTCTTCTCATCCTTCACAGGTATCTTGCGTGGATTAGTATGGAATTACAGATGACTGGCTTTAATTCCTCTAGACTTCAGTTGCCTGAGAGATTTCTCTGTACTTGAAGATAGAGAGATAGAGGGGAATGACTGACCCTCTAGAAATAAGGTTAGGTTCTACTATAGTAAAATTACCTTAATGGTAGAAATCATTCTCTAGTTATTGCTGTGATTCCTACAACTGACACAAAGGAAGTTACAATTAAATCTGTTACATACATTTCTGGCATAGCAATTGTCCTAAAGTCTACATTTTTTTTACCTTTAGATTCAAGTCCTTTGAATCTCTAGCACACATTAATTTCCCCACCCTAATTTCTTACCTCCCAGTACTTGGCTCGGTTGATACCCTCTGCATATGCTCGGGCAAAGTTACTTTCACTGTTAAGGGCTGTAATGGATGCACTGAGCTGAGACATGGGGTGTAGATTGGTGGGAAAGTTATCCAGCATAGTGACCACATGGGATGGAAGAGCTGCCCTCTTTGCCCATTCTTTTGAGAGCCAAGATACCTGTGGAAACAGAGACACTACTCAGAATACTAACAAGGAAGGAGAGAATTGAATGAATGGACAGTGATAGCAAAGAAAACGTAATCCATTTCCACATCAGATTCTGCTTGGATTTCTTCCATTCACTGCTTATCTTTATATCCAGATCAGGCTTGAATGTATGAGATTAGAGAAAGGCTAAAACGAAAGGAAGTAAGAAGGGCTGACATCCTTCTGCTTTACCTGTTCCTCTGTTGGGATCTGTCCAGTTACCAACAGCCAAAATAAGCCCTCAGGCAGGGGTTCTTCTCCACCCTTAGCTTTGGGGAGCAGTTTCTGGCATTCAGGAATACTATAGCCTCTGAAACGGATGCCCTTAAAGGCAAAAAGTGAGATTTAAAACTTCCTGAATATACTGATCTGGAAGTTACATAATTGATTGGTCCCACACAAAAGGAGACCTTTAACAGTTAGAATATAACTTAAAAATTTTTAAATTTACTTCTATTTTTATAATTTTATATTAAAAAGTGATCTTTCCGTTACCTTGGTTTTTTGCATATAATGTACCTATGTATAGCAAATACGTGCAATGGAGTTTTAAGGTTTGCAAAAACAATGTATTGAACCATCATTTGTGTAAAAATAGTATTTCATGCACATATATTCCTCACTTTTCAAAACATAAAGACAGCTGCTTTTCTTTGTTCTCCTTACCCTCTACCCTCACTAATTTTATCTATGCTAGTGTAAGCCAGTAATTACTTTGATCATGGCAAGTGACATGAAGATGTCTTACCTCATCAGGATCAAGAACTGATGTTTCGTATATCAATCCTTTCATGCCTCTCATACCACCATACATCTTAAAAGAAGAAGATCAGAATTATTCAGGCTTGTCAGAGTTTCATACAATCTGGGATAAGAAATCTGTTATAACTTGCAAGATTTCATTTGGAAGAAGATTTCTGGGGATGGAACTTAGAAAACTTTGGAAATGAAAATATGAAAATAAAAAGCCACTTTCTTTAATGTTTCTGCCTTTATTTCCTTTTTATTTTTCTGTTGTTCACTGTTCTCACTGTTTCCTTTTCATCCTCACCAACCCAAGTAAAACAGAATGAGATCTACTGGAGGGGCAAGAAAGTCAGACCAGGAGGAGGGGTGGGTAGGGAGAAAAGTGCAACAACGAATGAGTGGAAATCCAGTCTGTAAATGTTCCTTGAAATTAGTAATTAAAAAAAAAACATTTTAAAAAAGAATCAGACCAATGGTGGAACCATAATCTGCACTGCTCAGTTTTAGAACTAGGGGTGGTGACATAGTGAGTGGTATTTGACAGTTAACTAGAAGTTCAAATCCACCAGCTGCTATACAGGAAAAAGACATGGCGATCTGCTTCTATAAAGATTATAGCCCAGGTTCTGTGACTCTGTCTTTTCTAGCATTATGTCTAGGGTATCAGAACACTTGAAAATTGGTTTTTCTAGCTATTGTGTTGGCCCCCAGCTACCTCACTGTGGACCTACAGTCTTGTGGGACCAAAATAAGCACCCTGTGAGAGTCTATGATGACCACAGTGGAGAGAGGGTGAAGAGACTATGGCACTGCTGTGAAGCGACTGTAGCAAGGTGTAACCAGAGGAGCCCTAGAGATCAAGGCCACATGGTAAAGATTTTGCTTGCTAGTTGAAAAGCTGATTTATAACTGGTTGAAGAATTGCTGGATGATTGAGGAGGCCAGAGACTTCTTGTATTTGTGATGCTCAACTGAACCTAGACTTTCATTGACTGAGAAGCTATCTTTCACTAATTGAGGAATTATGTCTTGCCATTAATCCGACTTAGGACTGCTGGGCTAAACCTGTATTTACATTATGTGATATTCTTTGCCTTCCCCACGAAGCAACCAATTTCCCTAATAAACCCTACAATTGAGTTAAAAAAAAAAAGATAATAACCCAGGACACTCTCTAGGGCAGTTCTACTTGGTTGTATCACTTTAGTTGAATCAGGATTGATAGCATTGAGTTTGGAGTTTTGTTTCCTAAACCTGCTAGAGCTTTGGTACAGTATAAACTCAAAATCCCAAAAGTTAAAGAGCTGGGAATAGGAATAGAAACTTCAATTAGCCCTTTCCAAGTGTGTTAGCTTAGGTTCAACTATTGAATTTGTAGGAAAAAAGTTCTATTTCTAATCAACATTAGAACTTCAACATCTCCTTGCATAAGAGCACATACACTTTTTAACAGCTTCTGAAAAGTGCTAATTTTGTTGTGGTACACCTAGAGCTGCTACTTCCCGCCAAGACCAATCCCAAAACCCTTACCATGTCCACAGTGATTTGGCCCACCACCGACTTGCCATGCTGCTGCCTGAAGGTCTTAATTCTGGTCTGCTCCTTGGGTATCAAGTCAGCTAATATGTCTTTCAAATTCTAAAAGGAGAAGGAGAAGGGCTAAATGATAGCCAGAAAGCTTATATTTTCTACAAAGTGGAGATGTTAAAATTTTCCTTCTTAGAAATGACTTTATCTGCCAATGAAGTCAATAGTCAACTATTGTATACACATGACAGTTAAAAAACACGTAAAATATTTGATATTTCCACTTCAATATGACACTGAATAAATTATTTCTTGAAATAGTATTAACAGCCATAATTAGGAGATACTCAGGATGCTAACCTAAAATCTTTCCATATTCAGTAATTAGCTGGTGGTGAGGGAAAGCAGTTTGTGTGGTTTTATTGTAAAGAAACTAACAAAAAGCCAGGTAGCAGCCTATTACTGCCCCCACTCCCCAGCTTACCGTGGAGGAAGCACTGGCATGCCGAGCAGCAAGAACAAGACAGGATGCATTCTGCAAATAAAACACAGGTTCAATACATTGTTTTTGCAAACCTTAAAACTCCATTGCACGTATTTGCTATACATAGGTACATTATATGCAAAAAACCAAGGTAACGGAAAGATCACTTTTTAATATAAAATTATAAAAATAGAAGTAAATTTAAAAATTTTTAAGTTATATTCTAACTGTTAAAGGTCTCCTTTTGTGTGGGACCAATCAATTATGTAACTTCCAGATCAGTATATTCAGGAAGTTTTAAATCTCACTTTTTGCCTTTAAGGGCATCCGTTTCAGAGGCTATAGTATTCCTGAATGCCTAATTCACTTACTGCCTAATGTTGTTATGTACCCACCACTGGGTCAGAACTGACTCAGCTGGCTCTCCAGAGGGTTTTCAGAGGCAGTAAGTCACACAGGAGACTGCTCATCTTTTTCCCCTAGAGAAGCCGGTGCCTTTGGGTGTCAGTGCAGCTCCTTTCCACTAGGCCACTGTTGTGGAATGTTGGGGAGGAAGGGAGTACCTCTGGCCAGGATGGAGTTGCCTGAGCTCCAGACAGGTGCAAGCCTCCCAATGGCCTTGAATACGGGGTGGAAAAAGCTCCCCTGTGTTTGGCTGTACTGGTTTGAGAAAGCTCGCCACCTGGGAAGATGGCTGCCGCGTCTATTGAGCTGGGAGTGATCCACACGAGGCTAAGGTTCTCCTGATAATCCACATGTCCCACGTCTGTAAGCCCACCCTATCCTGTTTTCCTCTGTATATAAGTACAGTGCTTATCCCAATAAAACCGAGCTGGATTGACTCTCTGATCCTTTCCCGGAGTGGTGTATCTGTCATGCTCTCTCCCATCAGTGTGTTGCTGTAAATTTGTCGGTGAGCTGACAGCGACAGGCCACCACAGCTCCAGCACTCAAGTCTTGTTCTTCATCTTAGCCTCTTAAGATAGTCTAACAGAGAATTCTGGTATCTTAGTGGTAAAAAAAACCCACTATACTGCAACCAGGAAGATAGGCTAACAAGTTGGCTTTAGGTGCCACTGAGTCAACTATAACTCAAAGCAATTCTATGAATAACAGATCTGAACCTTGTCCTATCCTGTACCATCCTCACATCTCTGATATGCTCAAGCCCATTACTCTAGTCACTTTATCAATCCATCTTGTTGCTGGCCATCCTCTCTTTTCTTTGACCCTCAATTTTTTCCAGCATGATGTCCTTTCCCAAGTTCTGGCCCCTCCTGACAACATTCCCAAAACACGCTCCTAAGGAGCAATTTAGGTATAATTCCGCCAAGACTAATTTGTTTGTTCTTTTGTCAGTCTAACATAGAAAACTGTAAAAGGTGCTGAACGGCTTGGGAGGAGTCACCAGCCTGAAGTGGCAGTAGTTTTAACTCTGGTGGTGTGGTTTACAGGGAGTGGCACTGCAAACTTCAAAACTGTGCTTCTCTGGCAGTTAAAAATCTACCAGTGGTACTAAGGGAGAAAGATGGGTAATTCCTCCAGTGTGACTGTTTTCAGCCTCAGAAACCCAATGGTCAACCATGTTATCAGTTAGTTCTGACATGACAATAATAAGAGAGAATAGCAAGAATAATTTAGAGAGTAACTTTGTTGGCATTCCTTGAAGAGATACTTTCTAGATTCCAGGGCAATGCTTTGTTAGTCAGAGAAGGGTCAGAGAAGCAATTATGAAGAGTACTTAAATCTAGCTGTCATTACCATTATTCTGAATGACCCCAAAGAAAGCAAATGAGGAGACTGGGAAATTACTCAACCCAATAAGTAGGATCTCTCCTCCACCTAAACATCTGGCTTTATCCTAGACTTCATCCTTTCCAGTCTAGCAAGGTTCACAAGCAGGGCAGTCTTTCACAATATTACTTCTAAGTTTTTTGGAAAATGCAAGGAAAAAAGACTATTCAAAGCAACCACAAAAAAACAGATAGCTTGAAAATTATCCAAAGTGCTTAGAGAAAAATAATTATCAAGCAACAGCTGTGTATGGTGGTAGTAGGGGATCATCCTTTCTCTAGGTTCACAGGGTTTCCGGAGACAAGCTATTTCAAAAGTGGATGACGGGGAGCTCTGGTGGCCTAGTGGCAAGGAGCTGCAACTACAATCCCAGAGGCTCACCGTTCGAATCCACCAGATGCTCTGCCGGGAAAGGAGGGACAATCTCCTCCTGTACCAGTCAGATCTGATCTGGCCCCCAAGATCGGCCCCCTGGGTCTGTCTCCAAAAAAGGTTGGTGATGACATTGCCAAGGCCACCGGTGACTGGAAGGGACTAAGGATTACAGTGAAACTGACGATTCAGAACAGACAGGCCCAGATTGAAGTGGTGCCTTCTGCCTCTGCCCTGATCATCAAAGCCCTAAAGGAACCACCCAGAGACAGAAAGAAGCAGAAAAATATTAAGCACAGTGGAAATATCACTTTTGATGAGATTGTTGGCATTGCCCGGCAGATGCGACACCAGTCTTTAGCCAGAGAACTCTCTGGAACTATTAAAGAGATCCTGGGAACTACCCAATCTGTGAGCTGCAGAAAACAAAACAAACACTATCATCCAGTTAAGTCTTTCCCCCCCCCCCATCCAGTTAATATCTTATCTTTTAAAGCAGATCAGTTATCCAGAACTTTTGTCTATTGAGCTGCTTGCATATTTAACATTATTTTAATAAAAAAAATTTTAAAAAATTAATTTAACACTTTTTAATGCATAGTTGATGTATTCTGTTTATCTGAAATGCATTTATTTTACCTTTTATTCTAATATGATCCTAGAGAAAGGATGAAAGTTATACAAGTGTCTAGGTCTTTCATTTATAGGTTCACTATAAGTTGCCTACAACTTGACAGCACTTAACAAAAACAAGGTGCCCCTGATCCAAGCCATATTTTCAATAGCTTCCTATGCATTTGAGAGATAATGGATAAGGACGACCAGTAACTCAGAAATGTCTTTGAACTGTGGTGCCATTGATTCAAGTATGACTCATACCGACCCATGAACAGCAGATCTGAACCCTGTCCTAGCCACTGACACTCTCACACTCTGGAGCCCATGCTATATAGTTACTGTATCAATCTACCTGGCTGAGGGTCTTACGTTCTTTTGCTGCTCTTTAACCTTTTCCAAGTATGATGTTCTTCTCCAAGGAATAGCCTCTGCGAGGTGAAATTTCATCATCTTTGCCTCCAAGGAGCAATGTGGCTTTACCTTCTCTAAGACATATTTATTTGTTCTTTTGGCAGTCCATGGGATATTCATTCATTACTCTCTAGCAACACAACTCAAAGACATCAATTCTTCTATCATCCTTATTCACTGTCTAACTCTCAGGTACATGACTGAAAAGTGACTGAAAAGACCATGGTCTGAATCTGGTGCACCTCAGTCCTCAAACTAACATCACTGCTCATTAGTATTTTGGAGAGGTCCCTTCTTTGTAAACATATGTCTATTATCATATTTCTGACAGCACTGTACTTCACGGTAGATCCTGATATGTACTTTTTGACAATGGCTGTGACACATGTCATTCCTGGCAAGTATACCATATGACTGCCAAATTCAAAACTGTCAGTTCACAGGGAGCTGAGCTGCTAACTCAAAGTTGGCAACCCTGCTTGCTGAAAATGAAGACTTGAAGCACTTGTTGCAGAAGATCAAAGAATATAGCCTTCAATATAGATTGCATCTTAACATCAAGAAAACAAAAATTTTTACCATTGGACCTCTAGGCAACATCATGATAGATGGAGAAAAGACTGAAACTGTCGACAACTTCATCTTACTTGGATCTATAATCAACATCCTTGGTACCAACAGTCAGGAAATCAGGAGATGTATTACACTGGGAAAGTCCAGAGTCAGGGACCTCTCCAAATTATTGAGGAGAAATGAGGTCAGTTTGAGGACTAAGGTGTGTCTCATTTGAGCCACGGTCTTTCTGATCACTTCCTGTGTGTCTGGGAACTGGAGACTAAGGATGACAGAAGAATTGATGCCTTTGAGCTGTGGTGCTGGAGAAGAGTAATGAACATCCCATGGAGAGCCCAAAGAACACAAATATGTCTTGAGGAGGGTGCAGCTAGAGTGCCCTTCAGAGGTAAAAATGATGGAAGTTTTGCCTCACATAGTTTGGGCATGCTGCTAGGAGGTGCTAATCCTTGAAGAGGGACATGTTTGAAAAGGTGAAAGAGAGGAAGACCCTCAATCAGGTGGATTAACACTGTGACTGTCAATGGGCTCTAATGTTTCAGGAAGTGTGAAGATGGCAAAGGATAGAAAAGGGTTCAGATCTGTTGTTTATAGGGTCACTATGAGTCACACTTGACTCAATAGCACCTAACAGCTTCTCAAAGGACTATTGAGGAGTAATTACGTCAATATTTACAAAGCATTTAAATAAGTCTTTGGCATATATTTAGTATTTTGTATTTGCTATTTTGTTGTTGTGTTCCATAGTGTCGGAATTGATCCATAACTGACCCTCTGGCCGGTTTTTCAGAGGCAGTTAATCGCATGGGAGGAGACTGCCCATCCTTCCCGCAGAGCAGCTGGTGGCCTCAAACCATGTGCTTTTGTGACCGCACTGCAGCTTCTTGCCACTAGGCCACCAAAGAACAAATATATATAAACAATACAGATACTTTCTAGCACCCTGCCAGGTCACCAAAGATGGATTATTCAGTAAGTAGGTAAGCACCCAGTACAACCAAAAATTATTTCTCTCCACCTTGTAAGTATTGGTTCTTTTGACTATATCTGAGCTGAATAACAAAATTACATATTCTAAAAAAAATCCTTTTACTAATTTCAAATATGAATTTCTGTGTAAATGTCGACATTCTAATGTAAAATTGAAAAAAATCTTTCTTTTTCAATCACATTTCTTTTTTACACTAGAACAAAATTTCTAAAGGACATAATTTAATACTCAGATAATACAAAATGGCAACTAAGTAGAACATTTAACACAAAAGCTACTGGAAGATAAAAGG